GATCATAGTAGTAAACCAAAAAAGCCAAATGGGCAAAAGATGACAAGAAACTTGGAAATATGGATTCCATTTCCGACTGAAGTAATGGACAAAAATTCACCAGTTGGTACACTCGATATTTTATCTACATTCATTTAGTATGCGATTCCGCCTGCTACCAAGCAGTGTTGTGTCTTTATCAGAAGAGCTTCTTTCATAAAAAATATTTCTTTAACCATCAGGAAAGGAGGCATTTATCTTTCTGTTACCAACCATGGCAATGATTTTATTTCCTACTTTCCATAGCTCTCCTGAACATAAGCCTGAGTTACAGTCTTTGTTAATATTTTTACAGCCTGTCTGAGAGGCACTTTAAAGATCCAGGCACTCAAGTCACCTGTTAAGAAGCAGCTTGTACAACACTTGACTACAAAAACCAAAGGCTAATGTAGGATTTAAGAATAAGAACAACTTGACAGATTAATACAGTCAGTTTCATTTGAAAAATCTTATCTTTAGACTTGCTATCACTTTTATCATTATATTTATGGAAATCTATGTATTCAAAATAGGATACACTGCAAGCCTGCAGATATACAAGTACTAAGGACATCAAATGTCTGGTCTTTACATGGCAACCTTTATAAATGAGAGAGAGAAATACATAGAGAGAGAGCGCAATACATATATAAAGAGACTCTGTATTAAGAAAATGCGGACAAAAAGATCATTCCACATGATTTATTCTAATGTTAAGTGGCTTTATAATATATGATGCACAACAGGAAAGGAAAATGTCTTTATCAACAATTCAGGCTCAGAATTTTAAAGGACTCCGCAAATCATGAATTTCAATAGTTCTTTTATAAGGATATGCCTGAGCATGTCTAAGTAGACAGGGCTTATCACTAGTGTTTGAGTGAGATTCTGTGCTTCAGCAATATTTCTTTTGGAAAGAAAAAGTATTATAAACTACTAGTACCAAAACCAGTAAACACCTAAATTCTCAGTTGTGATCATACTCTATTCCGCAACTTGGAAATGCCTAGTTACAAAGATAGGGAACACCATTGTATACCACAGACAGGTAATTTATTGGCAGCTTTGTAGAAGAGGTAGGTACTCCTTGACCAGCAAACTGGTTGATCACGTTACTGATGAAATTATGTAATGCACAAAATTTGGAACCAGCCACAGTTACTATACCTGCTGTCTCTCTCTGGGATTTCTTTAATAGCAATTCTGACTTGATTGCTCAAATCTCGTCCTGCATATACAATGCCGTAAGTTCCTTTCCCCAGAATGACTCGCTCGCCATTTTCATCATATTCATAATCATACTGCAAAGCAAACAACAACATGAAATGAAACAGAGGGATAAGATTTATTCCATCTGACACTGTGTTCACAACTAAGGCATCTAGGAAGCTAGCTGCCTTCTGCAGACTACGGAGAAGGAAAGAAAAACACTTCAAGAAGACAATTCGGATACCATGCAGACATGCCTGTATTTCTCCACTGACTGTACAGGAAGCACTGGCTTCTAAGGTAGCCATTTCAGGTAAGTGCATAAAGCTAAGCTAGCCTTTACCTGTTCTGTGTAGTTACGCTTGCATGTCTTAACAGCATCTGCAATTCTGCTGGCAGGTGCTGTAAAAACAAGAGAAGACGACAGAGGGCACTCTGCGCCAAACTGAGAACTTCGGCTCCCATACAGACATAGACAGCAAGGCAGGATACACTTAATTTGTTCCAGATGCTCTTCTGACTTGCCCACATCTTCCAAAACCAGCACAACCTCAATTTTGCCAGTGCCAGGTCAGCCAGCAGAATGTGACAATGGAGGTTAGTCAGTATTGCAGTGTGTTAAGCGTGGTTTCGGCTGAATTTGAATTTCGAAGAGTTTAAGGCCAGTCCAGAAACAGTCATTAGATAGATTATCTGATCTGTCTTCTTGTGTAACACAGACATGTAATTTCACACGCTCACTCCCATGCTAAGCCCAGTAGCTCATGCCTAGATAAAGTATTTTTTCTTTTCCTCCAAATAAAGACTGCTATCTCTTTAATAAAAGAGAGACTCCACTACTTCTTTTAGTACTTTGTTTCAACAATTAATTACTCTCACGGTGAAATCACGCCCCTTAATTCGAATTTCTTTGGTGTCACTGTATTTCATTTCGCTTTTCTTCAATAGATTAAAGAGACCATCAGCACACAGTAATTTTCCCTGTAAAAATACTTACCCACTGTAATCAGTCACCCACTGCTTTTCTTTTTGCTAAAATAAACAAATTAGGCACCCTAAGGTTCTCATTATAGGGTATTTTTCTATCCCACAAGTCACTCTAGTGCCTTCTGTTTGTCCCATCTCTGATTTCAGATGTGTTATAAAATGCCAACATCAAAACTGGGACACAGGGGTGTATTCATTATCCAGTACTGACTCTCTCAGTTAGTTCTGGATGCCTCTAGAGCTTCAGGACACAGATTTTCATGCGATAGGACATGGGCTTAGGTATTCTATCCTGTTCCCTGCCACCTAAAAGAAAGCCTCAACACCTTAAGTACTGCACTGCACCCAATGGCCCTGTACTCACTTTTCAACTACGTATACGTTCAGATAAAAACCCAAGGTGAGAATACAGTGTGTAGGGCATACCCAGGCAAGCTATAACTTAGCTAATGGGTGGCAGCAAAAGTAGGGCATCCTGAGCTTCCGTGTGAGTTAGTGGGCTAAGGGTATAAACAGACTCCCAGCAGCACCAACATCATCACCTGATTTGAATTTGCTCTTCATTGCCATGCTTGCCTACAGATGGTAACTAGCCAGGACAAGATTTTCCCTACTACAATTATATCCTTACTTGTTGTGCAGACGACCTGCCAACAATGTAAGTGTACGTGATTCCAGTGATGCATGAAACAGACAACAAACAGTCTTCAAAATGTAAAGAGATGGTAATGCTGCCTGACTATGATTACACTCTGAAATAACTGTTACAAGAGTCACTCTAATAAGCACTATTGGAGAATTCCAGAGTTGAGTACCTTCTCAAGAGAGTATGCTAACTGAAATACAAGAGATTTAGCTATGCTGGTTACAAAAACTACATGAGAATGATTAAAAAGAATCATTAATTTATAAACAGTAGGGGATAAAATTTTGTAAACAATAACTTGTCTAACTCCTTCCAGAGAAGGGATGAGTAATTTACTCCCTTCAGTAAAATGCTACACAAGAAGCCCAAAATTCTTA